AGACTTATAGATCTAATCTACATGAGAAGACAAGATCTCCTGCATAAATTGGAAGCATGGGGACCTTGGGTAGGGTTGAATCAGGGAGGGTAGAAGTGGGGAGAGGAGCAGAGAAAAATGTAAAACTCAATAAAACCGAATATAAAATAATATATTTTCAATGCAAATCAAAACAACTTTGAGATACCATCTTACACCTCTCAGAATGGCTAAAATAAAAAACACCAATGATAGCCTCTGCTGGAGAGGATATGGAGTAAGGGGAACACTCATCAATTGCGGGTGGGAATGTAAACTTGTGCAACCACTTTGGAAAGCAGTGTAGCGGTTTCTTAGGAAATTCGGAATCAACCTACCCCAGGATCCAGCAATACCACTCTTGGAAATATACCCAAGAGATGCTCTATCATACTAAAAAAGCATTTGTTCAACTATGTTCATAGCAGCATTATTTGTAATAGCCAGAACCTGGAAACAACCTAGATGCCCATCAATGGAAGAATGGATGAAGAAAGTATGGAATATATACACATTAGAGTACTACGCTGCGGTAAAAAACAATGACTTCTTAAATTTTGCATGCAAATGGATGGAAACAGAAAACACTATCCTGAGTGAGGTATCCCAGACCCAAAAAGATGAACATGGGATATACCCACTCATAATTGGTTTCTAGCCAAAAATAAGGGTCATGGAGTCTACAATTGCTGAACCTAAGGAAGCTAAATAAGAAGGTGAACCCCAAAAAAAAACATATCGTTATCCTCTTGCCTATGGGAAGTAGACAAAATTGACGGGGAGAAAATTGGGATCTTGTGGGTGGGGTGGGATGGGGGTAAGGGGAGGTGGGGAGAGAAAAGTGATAAGGGAAGGAGGGGGGAACTTGGGGAAACAGGATGATTGGGATAAAGGAAGGTTGGACAGGGGAGCATGGAAGCACATTTCTTAGTTAAGGGATCCACCTTAGGGTTAGCAAGAGACTTGACCCTAGAGTGGCTCCCAGGAGCCCAAGGTGATGTCCCCAGTTAGTCCCTTGGGCAGCTGAGGATAGGGAACCTGAAATGACCCTATCCTATAGCAATACTGACGAATATCTTGCATATCAACATAAAACCTTCATCTGGTGATGGATGGAGGTAGAGACAGAGATCCACACTGGAGCACTGGTCTGAGCTCCCAAAGTCCCAATGAGGAGCAGAAGGAGGGAGAAGATGAGCAACGAAGTCAGGACCACGAGGGTGCACCCACCCACTGAGACAATGGGGCTGATCTATTGGGAGCTCACCAAGTCCAGCTGGACTGTGACTGAAAAAGTATGGGATAAAACCGGACTCTCTGAACATGGTGAACAATGAGGACTGATGAGAAGCCAAGGACAATGGCAGGGGGTTTTGACCCTACTTCATGTTCTGGCTTTGTGGGAGCCTAGCCAGTTTGGATGTTCACCTTCCTAGACATGGACGGAGGGGAGGAGGTCCTTAGACTTTCCACAGGGCAGTGAACCCTGACTGCCCTTTGGACTGGTGAGGGAGGGGGAGAGGAGTTTGGGGGAGGGGGAGAAGGGTGGGAGGAGGGGGAGGGAAATGGGAGTCTGTGAGGAGGCGGATACTTTTTTTTCCTTTTCTCAAAAAAAAAATGCTAGTTTCTCAAAAAAAAATGGAAACTTCGAGGTGGGGTGGGGGTGAGGAAATGGGGATAAAAAAGTGAGAAGGGGAGATCGAGAGAGCTTGGGGAAATGGGACAGTTGGGATGGAGAAGGGTGGATATGGGAGCAGAGAAGTATATATCTTAATTAAGGGAGCAATTTTAGGGTTGGCAAGAGACTGGACTCTAGGGGTGTACCCAGGTTTCCATGGACATATCCCAAGCTAGATTCTTTTTTTTTTTTTGGTTTTTCGAGACAGGGTTTCTCTGTGGCTTTGGAGCCTGTCCTGGAACTAGCTCTGTAGACCAGGCTGGTCTCGAACTCAAGCTAGATTCTTGGATAGCTGAGGAAAGGGATCCTGAAATGGCCCTATCCTTAAGCCATACTAATGAATATCATGCATATCACCATAGAACCTTCATCTGGCGACGGATGAAGCTAGAGACAGAGACCCACATTGGAGCACTGGACTGAGCTCCCAAGGCCCAAATGAGCAGCAGAAGGAGGGAGAACATGAGCAAGTAAGTCAGGACCGCAAGGGGTGCACCCACAAACTGAGACGGTGGAGCTTATCCAATAGGAGCTCACCACAGCAAGCTGGACTGGGACTGATAGAGCATATGATCAAATCGGACTCTCTGAACATAGCAGACAAGGAGGGCTGACTGAGAAGCCAAGGACAATGGCACTTGTTTTGATTCTACTGCATGAACTGGCTTTGTGGGAGCCTAGTTGTTTGAATGCTCACCTTTCTAGACCTGGATGGAGAGGGGAGAACCTTGGACTTCCACAGGGCAAGGAACCCTGACTGCTCTTTGGACTGGGGAAGGGGAGGAAGGGGAGGGGGGATGGGGATGGGAGAGGGGGGAAATAAGAAGAGGGAACAAGGTGGAAATTTTATTTCTAAGTAAATATAAAAAAATATAAAAAATAATAATAATATATTTTCTTTTTTTAAAGGAAAAAATGTTCATTCTTCAAAGTAATTAATGGCATTTCAAACATTAATTGGATAAAGGTTTATTTAAAGTAGTAACACTATTAACACTGGTAATAAAATTTGAGAATTTGCTGTCAATTTTTCAGATTACTAAAATTTTCATGACTACTCAACAGTGATAGGGGTAATAGTGACTTACATGAAACAGACAAATACCCGGAAGCCCATAACCTACAGAGATGGATACATGATGAAACACAATACAGATGACATGAATAACTCTTAAGACTGAATCAATAAAGAAGTTTTACAAAAGTGAAAATTTTTAATGATGAAAGCAGATAAATGAAGGGTATAGGAGAGGCCAGTGCATTGGAGGCACATGTGAAAAACCACTGCCAGCTCGGTACTCACTGGGGACACAGATAACTTTCATTCTAAAAAGAGAATCAACAAAAGGATGCCATGGCGGCCACTTTTCTTCAGTATTCTCTTAGATGTCCTAGACAAAACAATTACACAGCACAAATAAATGAAATTTGGACAAATAATTGTGTGTATAATAGATCAGCAGATAACATGAGCATATTTTTTAATCCTAAAGATTATACAGTAGTTTCTGGAACTGGTGAACAAACACACCCATCTGAGTTCTACTACTGTAAACTAATATTGCACAAAAACCAATAGATTCCCTGTTTGGTCACATGCATAGAGAAGCTAAGTGACGAGGAAGACTCAATTTAGGACAGTTGTCCTCCCACAGAAGAAGAAATATAAAAGATTTGTGGTTATAGGTGGGCACGTTGGGATAGGAGCTGGTGGAATCCCACTGGAAGATACAAGAGTAACCCTATAAAGACTCTGGGTACTGAGGCATAGGTAACGAGAACCAGTCATCTACTGTAACCACAGAATACTCTAACAAAGGGACTGGGACACCAATACAGCCACAAAACATTGACCTACAATCGGTCCTTCCTGAAATATATACAGGACATTTGAAAAGAACTTGTTGAATTGGCCAACTAATAACTGATCAAAATTAAAGTCCATGCCATAAGAGGGAGACCAGACCTGACCTTGACTGGATGGCTAGAAACCAGACAGAAGCTGGACAGCCCAGAAATTGAGGAGAGAAACAAACATGACTAGAAAAATATTTCAATGAAATGCTTACTAATGAACTTTTGTTCTACTAGTAGATCAGTGTCCAGCCTAATGGTTATCAGAGAACCATCATCCAGACAAATATGAAACAGATGCAGAGATATTCAGACAAACATTTGGCAGAACCTGGGGAACCTCAAAGAATAGTGGAAGGATGGATCGTAGGAACCAGAGAGGTCAAGGATGCCATGAACACATGGACCACAGAAACAACTGAGCAGGGCTTATAGAGGATCACAGAGACCGAAGTGATAATCACAGACCCGGTATGGGTTTGAGCTAGGGCCTTAGAGTATAAGTTATGGTGATGCAGATTCTTCGGGAACTCCTAAAGGTGGAAACAGGGGACATCTCTGACATTTTGCCGGCCTTTGGACCCTTTTCTTCCTACTGGGTTGCCTCTCTAAGCTCTGATACGAGGGATGGTGGCAAGTCTAACATAACTTGATATGCCATGTTCTGTAGATATCCCTATCATTTTTGAAGGGAAAGAGAAGAGGAGTGGATCTGGGGTATAGGGAAAGTGGAATTTAAAAAGGAGTGGGTGGAGGAGGTAACTGTGGTCAATATGTAATATATGAGAGGAAAAGAAAAAGGAAAGAAATACATATTAACAGAAAAACACTTATGTTCAAAATCCCACTGTGAAGGCCACTTTCAGGATGAAAACAGTGTGATCTGCCCTTATGTGAAGGATGTTACTTCTGTGTATCAAACAAAATGGATCAAAGCTGTTTAGAAACCAGCGATGACCACAGTGAAAATAGACAGACCCTTCTCCTGCCACTCTTCCTCACTTCACATAGCTGGCTGGTGTGCAGGCACATTGGGTTTAGGTGGACTAGTGAAATGAGGAATGTGCTTGATCATGTGAGAGGATGTTTTTCTCAAAGAAAACATCACATTCAGAGCAGACTTAGAGCATCCAAAAGCTTTAGAGCTCCTGAAATTAGTTTACATGAATTCTGAGAGATTGTTATATATTTGAAACATAATCTTAGCTTTTGAAGTGTTAGATTTTTGTTTACCATGTTGATATCTTTATTTCTATATAAGACAACATCACTAGAATTCCTGGCCTTCCCTTGTACACACATGTATCCCAGGACTATAGGCGTGAGACACCATGCTGGCTAAACCTGAGCAGTACCTAATCATTTTCACCACATAATTTTTCTACATTTGTACACATTGATTAAATAAATGTCAGCATTCTACCCTGGAATGGGAGGAGAGGTCACTCACTCATCTCGGCCAAGAGACTGGGAGACTGGTCTTCATACTGACTTGGTTGGAGACTTCACACTTGTATTCTCCAGCATCCTCTCTCCTGACAGGATCTATTCTGAGTCCACACTTTGTTGGGGACAGAGTCATCCTTCCTAGGTGAGGCATACTCTTGTTATTGAAGATCGAACGGATGGAGACATCAGTGTCGGGTGAAATGCAAGTGAAGATCACAGATGTACCTCCTGTGACTGTGCTGTCACTGATATGCACAAAGTGCTGTGTCACAGACTCTGTGAAGCAACAGAGAATATCAAATGGCAGTCATCCAGAGAGTCCAACCAGGCTCTCTTTAATTCAGACTTTATAAATTTTCCAGGGGGAAGAATTTGGAGCTGTGGTTAGACACATAGCTTGAGGATTGGATCTGCCACCCAGGGACTGTAGGACCCTGATTCAGGCACTGTTTCCTGTGTCTCCGTTTCACTGGGATAGGACACACAATGCATGATCTTTGCCATGTCCATGAGTTAAGCTTAGTTATGCGCAATGGTCTGAGCTTGGATGGGGAAGCTGGTGACATCAACAGCATCTGTTACTATTTAGCTGAAAAACAATTCCCTAGTCTGGATTCCTGAGGTGAAGGAGAAATCGGGAGTAACTACCTCTTTGATTTCTTCCATTGGTGCCTTGAACTTCCAGTGAGGTCTCATAAACCCTTCAGAACATTAGGCTAATGGCCCAGACACCTGTCCACTGAGTCATATGAAAAGGAGACACACAGGTGACCGACCAAACTGCAGCTGTCATGGCAGTAAACAGCTGGTGTTACACTTTAGGATCGTAGGTCCCATGACTTGGACAGTCAGTAAAGCCTTGTTCCCTGTGACTCTGATGAAAATCTAGACAAACAGCTGCAAAAATCTCCCCAGCATCACCTTGAGTCCAGCCTGGGGCAAAGTTGTGGAGTTGGGGCTTTCTGGTTCTCGGTGTGGGGACACTAAGATTTAACTATTCAGGGACTGCCTGACTCCAACAGAATCTTTCTGGGGACATGTGCATGGTGAGAGCTCCAGGTGTCTGGACTGAAACTGATATCCTGGGGCTGAGTTGACACCTTTCTGTATGAAAGTTCCTCCTTTCTGTAAGAAAAGACAATTGTGGGGTTCTGATCTATTACAGTTTGTCTACCCCATGTGTGTCCTGCAGTAGAGACCCTAACCCCAGTGCGGGGACACAATGCAGTGGAGAAGAGTGCAAAAACAGACCAGTCCTGACAGGTTAGTGTATGAAGTGGGATCAGACACTTCAAGCAGTTGGAGACCATAGAGAGTCACTTACTCTTTACATAAAATTCCACGTATGCTTTTTCAATTTTGGAATCTTTTTTAAAACTGCTAGTGTGTAGATTCCTGCATCTTTCTCAGTGAGATCCAGGAGCATCAGGGATCCATTATTGTACACTATATCTCTTCTTCTGGCTTCAGGCCCCCAGATGATGGAATTCGTGGCTCTCCTATATTCTACAGCTTTACGTAACGGGTTCCTATACTTTGATTTATGCCAGGAAAAGGCTTTCAGATTTTCTGAAAGATTATGAACTTGGAGAACTACGCCTTCCCCTTCAGCTGCATAGCGAGGCACTGGTTGGATCCTGAGTTGGGAAGAAGTGAAAGGGTTGCAGAACTGAGAATGAGAAGCTTGGAGGGAAAAAAAAAGGCCATCACATGAGGATCATTGTTCTTGGTGAAAAGATGTTAAACTCCATTCTGATCAGATGGATTCATCACTCAACCTAGAGTTGCAGGTGTGTGTGTGGGTGGGTGGGTGGGTGGGTGGGTGGGTGTACCTATCCAACTTAATAGAGAGTAGATACATGACCTCCTCCTTTCCAACAGTGCCCCTGATACCGTCGTGTCCTATGCATGGAACTGCTCCTGGGGTGTGTATATGGCTGCTCCCTCACTGCCCTCAGACACTGCACACACACATGAACACTTGGGTACAAGATGATGACTCCTCTGAACTCAACATGCCTGGAATTTCACGTTGTAGGATTTTTCTTTTTTTTTTACTTTGAAGCAACACTCAATCCATGACTTCAATACTAGATGTGCTTGCTCTGTCAAGTATCCATTAAGTTTGGGGCTATGTGGAACCTGGGGAGCAGTCTGATCATCAAGGCAGGTTCATTTCTTTAAAATGCTTGAGTAGGGAGTGTTGAAGTCTCCTACTATTAGTGTGTGCGGTTTGATGGCTGCCTTGAGTTTTAGTAATGTTTCTTTTACGTACGTGGGTGCTTTTATATTAGGGGAGTAGATATTCAGGATTGAGAATTCATCCTGATGAATTGTTCCTGTTATGAGTATAAAATGTCCCTCTCCATCGCTTCTGATTGATTTAAGTTTGAAGTCAACTTTGTTAGAAATTAGTATGGCCACACCTGCTTGTTTCTTAGGTCCATTTGCTTGATAAGCCTTTTCCCATCCCTTTACTCTGAGTAGGTGCCTGTCTTTGTGGTTGAGGTGTGTTTCTTGTAAACAGCAGAATGTTGGATCCTGTTTTCTTATCCAATCTCTTAGCCAGTGCCTTTTTATAGTTGAGTTGAGCCCATTGACATTAAGTGATATTAATGACCAGTGGTTGTTAACTCCGGTCACTTTTTTAGTCGCAGGGTTTGTTTGTTTCCCTTCTTTGAGTTGTGTTGGTGAAGGGTCTCTAGATGTCTGAGTTATTGTTGTCATTTTTGGACTCCTTGGTTAGTGATTTTCCTTCTATTATTTTCTGTAAGGCAGGATTTGAGGCTACGTATTGTTTAAATTTGTTTTTATCCTGGAAAATTTTGTTTTCTCCATTTATAGTGAACGAAAGCTTGGCTGGGTACAGTAGTCTGGGCTTGCATCCATGGTCTCTTAGTTTTTGCAGTACATCTATCCAGGACATTCTGGCTTTCATGGTTTCCATAGAGAAGTCAGGTGTAAGTCTGATAGGTTTACCTTTATAAGTAACTTGGCCTTTTTCCTTTGCAGCTCTTAATATTCTTTCTTTATTCTGTATGCTTTGTGTTTCGTTTATTATATGGTGAGGGGATGTTTTGTTTTTTGTTTTTTTGTTTTTTTTTTTTTTGATCCAGCCTATTTGGTGTTCTGTATGCTTCTTGAACCTTCATGGGTACATCTTTCTTCAGGTTGGGGAAGTGATCTTCCTTTTCCTTTTCTCAATAAAAATAATTAAATAAATAAAATAAAATGCTTGAGTAATAGGCTGAATGGTTTTATGTCAACTTGACACAGCTACAGTCATTTGGCAAGAAAAAGTCTCAGTTGAAAACTCCACCACCAGATTGGCTGGTGGGCTAAGCTACAGGACATATTTTTAAATTTGGAATTGATGCAAAAGAATTCAGACCAATACAGGCAGTTCAAGCATTGGGCAAGGAATCTTGGGTGATATAAGAGAGTTGTTGGAGCAAGCATGAAGAGCAAGCCAAATGGAAGCACTCTGCCATGGTCTCTGTACCTGGATTTTATTCGTGACACTCTCCATTTGGAGCTAATAAATACCCTAGCTTGACATGGATGATCCAAAACCATTTTCCCTATCAGCCTTGAAAGGATGTAAGTGTAGAGCACTAGAAAATGCTCCCCGGTGTCACTTTAGTCCAATCTTGGAAAGATGACAGAATTCAGGGTTCCCTGATCTACATTCACAAGAGACTGGTCTGACTCTGACATCCTAGACAGAGTTGTTTTCCATCAATGTCTTCCTTGATGCAGATGGACTCAGAAGATGGAAGGTGAGCTGTGGCCATTTGTCTCTACCGGTGTGACCTACATTAAGTGCACAAATCTCCCCCTGGGAACACAATATAGAGGAGAAGGGCAGCTAGGCCAGCCATGGCAGTCCTGTATGTCTAAGGCCTACCAGGTACTCAACAATCACAGAGAATCACTTACTGTGGACCTGGAGTTGTATCTGTGCTTCTTCACTTCTCAAATCTGTTCTCAGAATAGCTAGAGTGTACAGTCCAGGGTCTTTCTGAGTGACACCATGAAGCAGCAGGGATCCATCACTGTGCAACGTCTCTCTGCCACTGTATGCAGGCCCCCACACAGTTGCTTTCCTGCCTGGTATATATCGGGCAACCTCAAGTTTCTTGGACGCAGTCATCCATTTGAACCAGGCAAGGGCTTTAATATTCTCTGGTGGATTGTGAACGAGTAGAAGAACACTTCCCCCTTCAGTAATGCAAGGTGGCACTGATTCAATAGTGGGTTGGGCAGAGGTGACATGGCAGCCACAAGTCCAAAAGATGGCTAGAAGGGAAGAGAGAGATCCAACCAAATTTGAACTTTTGAATCTGACTAAGATGAGGCCCCGTGTCCACTGCTCAACCTAGGTACGTGAGTTACTCCCTGTCCTTGGTGGAGGTAAGCACCCAATGTTGATTCCTTTGGGGTCTTTCTCAAGGACACACTCTTTTGAGAACCCCGGGAGTCTAGACATAGCCTATTATTGTTATCCTAGACTGAGTTACCCACCATCTGTCCACCTGCCTGTAAAGAGAAGACAAATGAAGGACTGTAATCTATTGTCATTACTCTACACTGTGCATATCCTACACTGAATACTCAAAGCACAAAATATGGTTACAGTGCACAGGGGAGGGAGGCACAGGCCACTCTACTGTGAGTGTCCTGTGAAATAAAATCCACCCAGAACCCAGAATTCACAAAATCACTTACTGTGCACGTGAAGGTACATGGTGGCTGTTGACACAATAAATACATGTCTATTTAAGATTAGTAGGGTATAGAATCCTGCATCCTTCTTGGTGACGTTTCTCAGCAGCAGGGATCCATTGCTGTATACTGTCTCTCTACCACTGTGAAAGGGCCTGGGTACACTTAAATTTTTGTCCAGGAAATACGTTCCAATTCCATGGTCCATATTTTCCACACTTTTGGACCAGACTAAAGCATTAGAACTCTTTGGTAAAACATTGACAAGAAGAAGGACATTTTCTCCTTCAACCATTTGGGGTGGGACAGATTCAGTTCTGACTTTGATGGCTGTGGGCAGGTGCCAGCATGTTAAAAGGAAGGCTGGAAGGGAACAGAGAAAAACCATCAATTTGAGTTTATTTGACAATCACTCAGCTTAGATAAGGGGAAAGAAATGTGTCCATCTTTCTTTTTTTCTTATATTTTTTTTAATTTTTTTTTATTGAGAAAAGGAAAAAAAAGTATCTGCCTCCACCCAGCCTCCCATTTCGCTCCCCATCCTCCCACCCTTTTCCCCCTCCCGCAAATACACCACCCCCCTCCAGTCCATAGAGCAGTCAGGGTTCCCGGCTCTGTGGTAAGTCCAAGGTCCGCCCCCCTCTGTATATGTCTAGGAAGGTGAACATCCAAACTGGCTAGGCTCCCACAAAGCCAGAACATGAAGTAGGGTCAAAACCCCGAGCCATTGTCCTTGGCTTCTCATCAGCCCTCATTGTTTGCCATGATCAGAGAGTCCAGTTTTATCCCATGCTTTTTCAGTCACAGTCCAGCTGGCCTTGGTGAGCTCCCACTAGATCAGCCCCATTGTCTCAGTGGGTGGGTGCACCCTTTGTGGTCCCGACTTCCTTGCTCATCTTCTCCCTCCTTCCGCTTCTCCTTGGGTCCCTTGGAGCTCAGAACAGTGCTCCAGTGTGGGTCTCTGTCTCATTCTCCATCCATCACCAGATGAAGGTTCAATGTGGTATGCAAGATATTCATCAGTATTGCTATAGGATAGGGTCATTTCAGGGTCCCTATCCTCAGCTACCCAAGGGACGAACTGAGGACATCACCATGGGCTCCTGGGAGCCACTCTAGGGTCAAGTCTTTTGCGAACCCTAAGTGTCTCCCTTAACTAAGAATTGTGCTTCTGTGCTCCCCTGTCCAACCTTCCTTTATCCCAATCCTTCTGTTTCCCCAAGTTCCCCCCCCTCCTTCCCTTCTCACTTTTCTCTCCCCATCTCCCCTTACCCCATTCCCACCCCACCCCCAAAATCCCAATTTTCTCCCCGGCAATTTTGTCTACTTCCCAGAGCCAAGAGGATAACGATATGTTTTTCCTTGGGTTCACCTTCTTATTTAGTTTCTTTCGGTTCACCAATTGTAGTCTCCGTGACTCTTATTTATGGCTAGAAACCAATTATGAGTGAGTACATCCCATGTTCATCTTTTTGGGTCTGGGATACCTCACTCAGGATAGTGTTTTCTATTTCCATCCATTTACATGCAAAATTTGAGAAGTCATTGTTTTTTACCACAGCATAGTACTCTAATGTGTATATATTCCATACTTTCTTCATCCATTCTTCCATTGAAGGGCATCTAGGTTGTTTCCAGGTTCTGGCTATTACAAATAATGCTGCTATGAACATAGTTGAACAAATGCCCTTGTCATATGATCGGGCATCACTTGGGTATAATCCCAAGAGTGGTATTCTTGGGTCCAGGGGTAGGTTGATCCCGAATTTCCTGAGAAACCGAAACGCTGATTTTAAAGTGGTTGCACAAGATTGCATTCCCACCAGCAATGGATGAGGGTACCCCTTCCTCCACAGCCTCTCCAGCACTGGCTATCATTGGTGTTTTTGACTTTAGCCATTCTGACAGGTGTAAGATGATATCTCAAAGTTGTTTTGATTTGCATTTCCCTGATTGCTAAGGAAGTTGAGCATGACCTTAAGTGTCATTTGGCCATTTGAACTTCTTCTGTTGAGAATTCTCTGTTCAGTTCAGTGCCCCATTTTTTAATTGGGTTAATTAGCATTTTAAAGTCTAGTTTCTTGAGTTCTCTATATATTTTGGAGATCAGACCTTGTCTGTTGCGGGGTTGGTGAAGATCTTCTCCCAGTCAGAAGGTTACCTTTTTGTCTTAGTGACAGTGTCCTTTGCTTTACAGGAGCTTCTCAGTTTTTGTAGGTCCCATTTATTCAATGTTGCCCTTAAAGTCTGTGCTGCTAGGGTTATACCTAGGAAGCGATCTCCTGTGCCCATATGTTGTAGGGTACTTCCCAATTTCTCTTCTATCAGGTTCAATGTGTTCTGACTGATAGTGAGGTCTTTAATCCATTTGGACCTGAGTTTGTGCATGGTGATAGATATGGGTCTATTTTCATTCTTCTACAGGTTGACATCCAGTTGTGCCAGCACCATTTGTTGAAGATGCTTTCTTTCTTCCATTGTATACTTTTAGCTCCTTTATCAAAAATGAGTTGTTCATAGGTGTGTTTGTTTGAATCTGGGTCTTCTATATGATTCCATTGGTCGACTTCTCTGTTTTATGCCAGTACCACACAGTTTTTATTACTGTAGCTCTGTAATAGAGTTTGAAGTCAGGGATGGTAATGCCTCCAGAAGATCCTTTATTGTATAGGATTGTTTTGGCTATCCTGGGTTTTTTGTTTTTTCATATAAAGTTGATTATTGTCCTCTCCAGATCTGTGAAGAATTTTGATGGTACCTTGATGGGGATTGCATTGAATCTATAAATTGCCTTTGGTAGAATTGCCATTTTTACTATGTTGATCCTCCCAATCCAAGAGCACGGGAGGTCCATCCATTTTCTGTATCCTCTTCAATGTCTATCTTCAATGCCTTAAAGTTCTTGTCAAATAGATCTTTCACTTCCTTGATTAGATTTACCCCACGATATTGTATGCTGTTTGTGGCTATCGAGAATGGTGAAGCTTGTCTGATTTCCCTCTCTGCTTCCATATCCTTTGTGTATAAGAGGGCGACTGATTTTTTGGAGTTGATCTTTTATCCTGCCACATTACTAAAGCTGTTTATCAGCTGTAAAAGTTCTTTGGTGGAGTTTTGGGGGTCGCTTATGTACACTATCATATCATCTGCAAATAACGAAAGTTTCATTTCTTCCTTTCCAATTCGAATCCCCTTGATCCCATTATGTTGTCTTATTGCTATTGCTAGAACTTCAAGCACTATATTGAAGAGGTATGGTGAGAGTGGACAGCCTTGCCCTGTTCCTGAGTTAAGCGGGATGGCTTTAAGTTTCTCTCCATTTAATTTGATGTTAGCTGTCAGCTTGCTGTATATAGCTTTTATTATATTTAGGTATGACCCTTGTATCCCTAATCTCTCCAAGATTTTATCATAAATGGATATTGAATTTTGTCAAATGCTTTTTCAGCGTCTAATGAAATGATCATATGGTTTTTTTCTTTCAGTTTATTTATATGATGGATTACATTGATAGATTTTCATATTTTGAACCAGCCCTGCATCTCTGGGATGAAGCACACTTGATCATAATGGATAATTTTTTTAATGTGTTCTTGGATTCGGTTTGCCAGTATTTTGTTGAGGATTTTTGCGTCGATGTTGAGGAGTGAGATTGGCCTCTAATTCTCTGTCTTGGTTGAGTCTTTGTGCGGTTTTGGTATCAGAGTAAGTGTAGCTTCATTAAAGGAATTTGGCAATGACTCTTCTGTTTCTATATTGTGAAATACATTAAGGAGTATAGGTATTAGGTCTTCTTGGAAGATCTGGTAGAATTCCGCATTGAAACCATCTGGTCCTGGGCTTTTTTTGGTAGGGAGGTTTTTGATAACAGCTTCTAATTCTTCGAGACTAACAGGTCTATTTAGATTGTTCATCTGATCCTGGTTTAACTTTGGTATATGGTATTTATCTAAAAAAGTGTCCATTTCCTTTACATTTTCAGTTTTGTGGCATATAGGCTTTTGTAGTCAGGTCTAATGATTCTCTGAATTTCGTCTGTGTCTGTGGTTATGTCCCCCTTTTCATTTCTGATCTTATTAATTTGCGTATTCTCTCTCTGCGTTTGATTAGTTTGGATAGGGGTTTATCAATCTTGTTGATTTTCTCCAGGAACCAGCTTTTTGTTTCATTGATTCTTTGGATTGTTTTCTGTGTTTCTATTTTGTTGATTTCAGCCCTCAGTTTGATTATTTCCAGTCTTCTACTTCTCCTAGGTGAGTCTGCTTCTTTTTGTTCTAGAGCTTTCAGGTGGGCTGTTCAGTCTCCAATGTGAGCTTTCTCTGTTTTCTTTAAGTGGGCACTTAGTGCTATGAACTTTCCTCTTAGGACTGCTTTCATAGTGTCCCATAAGTTTGAGTATGTTGTTTCTTTATTTTCATTGAATTCCAGGAAGACTTTAATTTCTTTCTTTATTTCTTCCTTAATCCAGGTAAAGTTCAGTAGTTGACTGTTCAGTTTCCATGAATTTGTAGGCTTTCTGGGGGTAGCATTGTTGTTGAATTCTAACTTTAATCCATGGTGATCTGATAAGACACAGGTGGTTACTAATATATTTTTTTTGTAACTGTGGATGTTTGCTTTGTTTCTGACTATGTGGTCGATTTTCGAGAAGGTTCCATGAGCTGCAGAGAAGAAGGTATATTCTTTGCTATTTGGGTGGAATGTTCTATAGATGTCTGTTAAGTCCATTTGCTTCATTACCTCCATTAATTCTCTTTTCTCTGTTTGGTTTCTGTCTGATTGACCTGTCCATTGGTGAGAGAGGAGTGTTGAAGTCTCCTACTATTAGTGTGTGCGGTTTGATGTCTGCCTTGAGTTTTAGCAATGTTTCTTTTATGTACGTGGGTGCTTTTATATTAGGGGCATAGATGTTCAGGATTGAGACTTCATCTGATGAACTGTTTCTTTTATGAGTATAAAATGCCCCTCTCTATCTCTTCTGAATGATTTAAGTTTAAAGTCAAATTTGTTAGAAATTAGTATGGCCACACCTGCTTGTTTCATTTGCTTGATAAGACTTTTCCCATCCCTTTACTCTGAGTAGGTGCCTGTCTTTGTGGTTGAGGTGTGTTTCTTGTAAACAGCAGAATGTTGGATCCTGTTTTCGTATCCAATCTCTTTGCCTGTGCCTTTTTTTAGTTGAGTTGAGTCCATTGACATTAAGTGATA